TGAGGGAGTGATTTTTGGAGAAGGACATTATGCTTGGAAGGATTGAGAGAAAGTGCAGGCAAGGAAGATCCAGGAAGAGATGGACTGATGCAGTAACTGGTGTGTCGGAATCAATGAGACCGGATTAGCATAGGGCAAGCTTCAGAACTGTTGTACATATAAGGATGAATGAATCAAAGCACATAACAAAACCTACACACACACACAAAAAAAAAAACACCAAAAAAAAAAACCAAACCAAAAACCAAAACAACAATAATATTTGCTATTACTTAGCAATAGGTGTTTATAGTAGCAAAGAAATATCCAGGGGGTATGAAGTATAGATAACACTCCCATTTTTCCTTAATGTCTCATTAAACTTCAAAATGTTGTAGGTTACTTAACATATAAAGGAAGGCATCATCATGCATTTTTATGCTTTTCTTACTATTGGAACAATAATTCTAGATCCACATTTTTAAATTATCTGGAACAATATCCTCTTTTTATATATATAAAAAAATTGTCCAATTGCTTGTTGGACTTCCTTGAGGTTTTATTAGCACACTGTAACATCTCAAGAACTGCAAAGGGTGATGTTACTGGTGGTACAGCTGGCCAATTTATTAAAACCAGGACAAGACTCCAGATTCTATTTAATTATCTGTGACATTGCTTTAACCCCAAGAAATTGGGTTGCCTGGTAACTTTGTTAAATTGCTGAATCTATTACAAATTGAAAGTAGTTAACTCAAAAAATTCTATAACTACTTCATTCATCTCATTTCCTGACTTAATCCTACATTTTCAGTGAAGTAATCCTAAAAGATGCATAATTTATTTTATCATGAAGAATAAGAAAGCACGATCTAATCTAAATCCTTTCTTCACTTCATCGCACTTAGAAATGTGTTCCAAATGTCTACAGAAGGTTTCAAGGAGCTCTAATAGTCCAGTGAATCAGGAGTTCTGCTATTAACTCAAAGATGATGCTTCTCTCAGTTTCAATCTCTCAGCAGGCCCAATGAAGGAAGATGGACAGTCTGCTTTCCTGTGGTTTATAGCCTCTGAAAACCCCTGGAACCTTAGTCATGATTCCGTTCCAATGTAATGGTTATTTGTGAATGAATTATGCAAAGTTTTATCGGATTACTTTTCATTGTTTCATAGGTTATTTTTCATTAAAAATTGAAGGGACTTTTATTTGTAGAGCAATCTGAAGGCCAAATGTTAATTATTATAAGAAAAGAGAAAATTATCTATAAAATATTGCTGCTATACTTTTTAGTTGAACTTCTATATGTTATTCTAGACACTAAGGTATACTGAAGGCTGCAGTCCTTGACAGTCTGCAGCAAGTGCATGAGGTCCTCCTCAGTTTCAGCAAGCAGGGTTGTGTCATCCACATAACACAGATTGTTAATAGATCTTCCACCAATCCTGATGCCACACTTCTCATAGAGCCCAGCCTCCCGGATAATCTGTTCTGCATATAAGTTGAAAAGGTATGGAGACAGGATCCATCCCTGGCGTACACCCTTCCCAATTTTGAACCATGCAGTGTTACCCTGCTCTGTTCTGACGACTGCCTCTTGGTCCAAGTATAGGTCTCACATTAGCATGATTAAATGTTCTGGGATTCCCATTCTTCTCAGAGTCATTCACAGTTTGTTATGATCCACACAGTCAAACGCCTTTGCATAATCAATGAAACTTTCCATATTGATGCAAAATTTTTATAGTAAATAAGGAATACAGTAGAGGCACTTGACATGTCACAAACTAGCAGAGGAGAAAAAATTCTCATGGAAATAGCATGATCAGATACTCCTTTAGAGCTTAGTGGAGAGGATTAATTTCATTTGCTTTCAGCATAATATTAAGTAAAACAAGTCCCTAAAGAGGGAAAACATACTGAGATGAGACAAAGGTAAAAAAAAAAAAGAGTTCCTCAATGAGATAGATTAACGTAATGACCATAGTGATGAGCTCAACTATAACAATTGTTAAGATGATGCAGTTCCAAGCAATGTTTGTTTTTTTTTTCTTTGTAGGAGTTTCATGAGTTGGAACCCAAACAATTACAGCTAACAATGATAGCTGACTAATAAATAGAAGTTAATTCAGAATATCTTATCACAATGTCCTTTAATTTAACTGCTACTTTCCCTAATAAGGAGTGCCCAACTATAAACAATGCAAGACAAATTTTTGCCCTGAACCAGAAGTTTCTTTTACACTATGTCATATTTTCCTCTTTCTTTCCTAATTTCACATATTTAAATAGACAATCACTTCTGTATTTCTGTAAGACAATCATTTCTTTGTTGTTGTTATGTGCTGTCTTGTCGCTTGCAACTGATAGCAACCTGGTGTACCAGAGCCTTAAACCCTGCTCTATCCTCACTGTCTATGACACACTTACTCCCATTACTTCAATCACTGAATCGATCCATCTCATCGAGGTTCTTCCTCTCTTGCGCTGCCCCTCCACTCTCCCAAACATGATGTCCTTCTCCAACGAATGTTCCCTCCTTGCAACATGCCCAAAGTATGTCAGACAAAGCTTCAGAATCCTTGCCTCCAAGGAGCACCTGGTTTCTCCCTTTCCTGCACAAACCTGTTTGTTCCCCTAGAAGTCCATGGTATATTCAATACTCTTCTCAAGCACCACAGCTCAAAGGCATCAATTCTCTTTCTATTATCCCTAGTCACTTTCTAGCTCTCTGATACATAGCACACAACTGCAAAGGCTATGGCCCAGATCAGGCGCACCTTATTCTCTAGCCAGATGTTGCTGCTCTTCAGTATTCTGGAGAGCTCCCTGACAGCTGATTTTTCCAATGCAATTTGTCTCTTGATTTCCAGTCTGCTGGTACCAAGAGCACTGACTGGAGACAAGCAAACAAAAACTGCTAACTATCTCAATCTCTTCATCATCCATACCGATGCTGCCAATTGGTCCGGTGATGAGAATCTTTGTTTTATTGATGTTGGGCTTCAATCCGTTTTGAAGGCTGCAATCCTTGACCTGAAGCAAGTGCTTCAGGTCCTCCTCAGTTTCAGCAAGCAGGGTTGTGTCATCTACATAACACATGTTGTGGATGAATCTTCCATTAATCCTGGTGCCACATTCCACCTCATAAAGCCCAGCATCCCGGATGATCTGTTTTGCATACATATTGAAAAGATATGGAGACAGAATACTTCCCTGGCAGACACCCTTCCCGATTTTGAGCCATGCAGTGTCTCCTTGCTCTGTTCTGATGACTGCTTCTTGGTTCAAGTATAGGTTTCACTTAGCGCAATCAAGTGTTCTGGGATTCCCATTTTTCCCAGAGTTAATTTTTTTTTTTGCATAGTCAATGGATCACAGATAGACTCTGCTTTGGTACTCTATGCTTTCTGCCAAGATCCATTCACTATAATATCACTAGTATCATAGCCTCTTGTCAACCCAGCCTGTAAATCTAGCAGTTCTCTGTTGCTTCAGTTGTTTTTGGATACTTTTCAGCAGAATCTTCCTTGCATGTGATATTAATGATATTGTTTGATAATTTCCGCACTCTGTCAGGTAATTTTTCTTTGAAATGGAAATAATGATCTTTTCCAGTCAGTTGGCCAGGTGGCTGTCCTCCAGATTTCTGGGCACAACTTAGTGAGCACATCAGGACAGCGTCTGGTCTGCTTGTTGAAATATATCAATTGGTATGTCATCAACTCCTGGAAACTTGTTTCTTTTGTTTGTTTGTTTGTTTTTTGTTTTTTTTTAATTCTTTCAGAGCAACATGAACTTCCTCCTTCATCACCATAGGCTCTTGCTCATATGTTATTTCATTAAATTCTTCTGTGTCAGCCAATTCCTTCTGGTATGGTGACTCTGTATAGTTCTTCCATTTCTTTAAATGCTTCTTGGATCGTTTAACACTCTACTCAAAGCATCTTTAAGTAAGAGCTGAATGAGTTCGGCCTTTTGATTTTCTGTCTCCAGCTCTTTGCCCAGTTCATTATAGGATCTTGCTTTGTCATTCTCGGCTGCCCTTTGAACTTTTATGTTCAGCTCTTTAATTTCATCATTTCTTTCTTTAGCTTTGGCTTCTCTGTGCTCTAATGCAATATTCAGAGTCTCATCTGACATCCATATTGGTCTTTTCTTCCTCTTCAGCCTTTGCAATGATCTTTTGCATTCTCCATGGACGATATTCTTTATGTCTTCCTCCAGCTTATTTGGTCTACACTCATTGGTGTTCAAGGCCTAAAACATGTTCCTGAGATGATTTTGAAACTTGAGTGGGATAAACTTAAGGTCAAATTTTGTTCCTTGTGGATTTGATTTTATTTTCTTCAATTTCAGCTTAAACTTGCATGTGAGTAGTTGGTTGTCTGTTCCACAATCAGCATCTGGCCTGGTTTTCACAACTGATAGTGATATTCTCCAGTGATTCTTTCCACAAATGTAATATATCTGGTTCCTATGCATCCCATCAGGTGAAATCCACGTCTATAGCCTGCATTTGTGTTTCCTATAAAACGGTATTTGCAATGAATAAATCTTTGAATATGCAGAATTCTATTATTCTATCTCCAAGTTCGTTTCTGTCACCAAGTCCATGTTTTCCAGCTACTGATCTTTCTTTTCGATTTCCCAGTCTTGCGTTCCAGTTGCCCATTATTGTCAATGCATCTTGATTGCATGTTCAATCAATTTCTACTGCAAAAGTCGGTGGAAATCTTCTTTTTCTTCCTCTTTGGCTCTAGTTACAAAGGATATATGTAAACAATAGATTATTCCATTTGTTGATCTTTAATCAGTGTCACAATTTCTCATAAATGAAACCAGTGTGAGTAGTTACACTTACTTCTCCTGTGTGATGTCTCAGTGAATTCTATTATACACATCATCCTAGAGCAGTTTTATGTGCATATGACAGTATTAAAAAATAACGAATAGACAGTGTACCAAAAATAATTGGTCAATATTGAAACATTTTAGGAAGAAGTATGATCAAAACCAAGGGTTAAATGGTAGAAGTCAAATCTCCACCTAAGGCATTGGAAAAAAGAAGGTTATAAAAGTTGATAGACTACCAATTGATATGCAATTATGGAAATAATTACTAACCTATGACAAGAAATTTGAAGAACAGCTTTCTCCCAATCTGATGAAAAAGCATTAAATGTGGTTTTGTCCATTCTAAACCAAGATGATCCGATAGACTGTGGGAATTATCCCAAAATTAACACTAACTATTAACATCACTAAAACCTAAAATTTTGAAGACAATAACTGAAAAGCAGCTGTCACCATAAACCAACAAAAACTGTCACAACTTATAGTTGGACTCAGAAGAGGCTTTGGGAAAGTGGTCGCATTACTGATATTAGGTGGAGCTCCGCTGAAAGTGTAGAGCATCAGAAATAAGAAAAAAAAGTGGTTACTTGCTGTTTATTCACTGTGCAAAGGCATTCAACTCTGTAGACAACAATAAATATTGGCTGACACTGACAGAAAGGGAAATTCCAGATCACTTGATTGTGCTCATGAGAATCTTGTTCATTAGGCTAAGAAGCAGACTATCAAGTAGAACAGAAATGTTTCATAATTCTACCTTTTTACCATAAATGTTTAAAATATATGCTGAGAAAATAATTTCAGAAGTTGACTTTTATTAAGAATATAACATGTTGTTATTATTGTTAGTGCTGTCGAGTTGAGTATGATCCATAGTGACCATATGAATATGAAATCTGAACCCTGTCTTATCCTGTGCTATCCTCACAATTCCTGATGCACTAGAGACCGTTGTAGCAGTCACTGTGTCAATCCAACTAGCTGAGGGTCTTCCTCTCCTTCACCAGCATCCTGCCTTTCGAAGGGTCATGTCCCTCTCCAAGGACTAGTTTTTGCTAGCAATATACCTGAAGTATAAGAGGTGAAGCTTTATCATTTTTGCCTCCAAAGAGCACTCTGAATGTACTTTCTCCAAAATATATTAGTTTGTATTTTGGCATTCCAGGGTATGTTCAATACTCTTTGCCAACACCACAGCTCAAAGGCATCCATTTTTTCTAAAGCATGTATTGTTCACAGAATTTCTATAATTCATAGTGGTCTTCAAGGTTTCTAGCAATACCAGTAACAATTAATTTCTTTGGACTGTGGTATTGCCAAAGAATATTGAATACACTACAGGTTGCTAAAAGAAAGTAAAACAAAACTAAACTTAACAAATATGTCTTTGAAGAAATGTAGCCAGGAAGTCCATAGAGACAAGGATGGTGAAATTTTGTCTTACATACTTGAAGGGCATGGGAAAGACAGTATTTTACTTTCATTAACAACTTTGCTTACAGAAACTAATCAGGACCTGAAGTGTTTACTGAGAAGGTTGAGGACTATAGGCTACAATATGCACTGATGCTCAACATCAAGAAAACAAAATTCTTACCACTGGCCCAATTAGCACCATCATGACAGACAGAGAAGAGACTGAGATTGTTAACAATTTAAGCTTACTTTGTTCAGCAATCAACATTATTGACACCAGCAGTCAGAACATCAAAAAATGGTTTACATCAGGAAAATCTGCTCTCATGGACCTCTCCAGATTAATAAAGAGCAATGATGTCAGTCTAGATATGAAAGTGTGCCTGAGCCAGGCCATGGTCTTTGCAAATGCTTGTGATGCATTGGAGATCTGCACAATGACTAAAGATGAAGAATCAAGACCATTGAGCTGTGGTGGTCGAGAAGAGTGTTGAACATTTTGTGGACTGCCAAGAGAACAGGTTTGTCCTGAACAAGGTGAAGCCAGGTCGCTTTTTGGAGGCAAGGGTTGTGAAACTGTCTTACATACTATTGACATATTGCCCAAGGGCTGGTCCTTAAAGAAAGACATCATTCTTGGAAGAGTGGAGTTACAGCGTCGGAAAGGAAGGCCCTGAATGGAATGGATAGACACAGTAACTGGTGCAGGTGGGTGAGAGACAATGAGATTGGCTCAGGATAGTGCAGATTTCCGAGCTCTTGCACTTAGAGTCATTATGAGTGACAGGGGACACAATCACACATAACCACACATACAACAACAACTTCATTTGGGGATAAAATTCCCAACAACAATGTCAAAAGACCAGAGCTGATTCCTGTGAGTGTAGCATCAACCTTCTCTCTCATATCACTTTCTACATTTCTTTTATAGTTAGACTATCATGTCTGGAAAAATGGAGACTTATTATAAGAAAAGGAGACTCTCACTGAACTGCATTAATAAAAATAAAACAAGCAAACCAAAAACCAAAAGAAACCCAAAACTGCAATAATAGACCACGCATAGCAAAGATTATGAAGATACCACAGGAGAAATAGGCTGTATCTCCTTCCATTGTACATTGAGTTATTATGAGTCAGAGCTGACAATAACAACAATATATACCCTGGTCATAATTTATGTTTTCACTTATCTGGTGCCACCTTACAATGTTACTATTTTATGTTAGATTTTTTAATTGTTCTTGTTATTTTAGTCATGTTTACTAAACTCGGTTGTTGTTTGTTGTTGTTAAGTGCCGTCAATCACAGGAGACTCATAGTGACCTTATGAAGGAGAGTCCTCGACACTTGGGTACCTTTCATCCTCTCTCCAGGTTCATAGGGTTTCCAGAGGCAAGCTATTATGGAAATGGATGCCACTCTTCCTTCCAAGCTTGTTTTAATCGGGAGTGAGGGGGTGGGGAGGTGGGGAGTCCACCCCACTCTCAGTTCTCATTAGGTAGCCAACCATTAACACATTTGACACATCAGTGTCAGAGTGTTCAGCCTCACTGCAAAGAGGTATTTTATTATACATGCATGTGGGGCATATACGTGTGTTTGAGAAATAAATTAGAATGCATTTACAATAGGCCTTTATGGTATGTTTAATTACATCTCTAAATGTGGAAATAGCACTTAGAAAATGCTATTGTTATATAAGGGAATGGGAAAGATTTTGTAATCCTGACATAGTTATTCAGAAATTTATATTCTGAGTTTTCATTTCTCTTTTTGAAGAACATTACATCTCATCTCATCAGGGTTGGTTTGTTGTTGTTTTTTTTTCCATTTTATAAATAATAGATAATGAACCTTCTGGGTAAGAAAGATGTTCAATAAATAGTAACTACTGAGTAATCTGATTTTAATATCAGATTTCAAACTTAAATTAAGCACAAATTATAACATTATATTATCATTGTCCCTCATATCAACATGCCCAAAGTATATTCAGGTGACGTTTTATCATCTTTGCCTAAAAAGAGCAGTCTAGCTTCCTCTTCTCATAGATCTCATGGACTGCCAAAAGAACAACAGATATATCTTGAAGAATGTGAAGCCAGAGTGCTGTTCATAGATTTGCTATGAGTCAAACTCATAACTTATTAACAACATAACATTAAAGAATATCAAATTATGCTTAAGTAAAATCCATGTGCTCATTATGGTTTTGAATTTCACCTCAATATGCAGGAGACAATTCAATTAGATTTCATAATAATGAAATAAATGAAAAGTAAACCTAATTATGACTGTTGATTATTTTCTTATGAAACAATAGCCACTTGTATTTTTTTTCTTTTACTTTTCAAAGAGAAGAGTGAATTGGGTGGAGGAGGGGAAAGGAAGAAAAGTGCAACAGTGAATGAATTGAAATTCAGTCTCTGTAAATTCTCATTAAAATTAAAAATAAAAAGAAAGAAAAATACATTAAGATGTAATCTAGATTTTAATGAATTTCTATAGATAACAAAGCACTGTCATGAAAACTGACATAGGTCCAAAGATAAAACTGATGACAACCACAGAATCTTTTTCTTTAAATATAAAACTGTAAGTCATTTTAAATGTCACTTGATCAAAATAAAGTCACATTTCTTCTTCACATAAGTTTAATATTATTAAGTATAATTTTCTTGTCGAGTTGCTCACATCATAACATATCATAAATCTGTAACTCCATCAAACTGTGAGTACAATAACTATTTCTCAGTGTTTCAAAACAAAATTCAAATTCAATGTGGTTTTAAATCTGAAATGGACAATGAAAAAGGATGATAGCAAAAAAAAGAATTGATCTCTTTGAGCTGTTATGTTGGAGAAGAGCACTGAACATCCCATGGATTATCAAGAGGACAAATAGATATGTTTTGGAGAGGGTGCAGCCAGGGTGCTCTTTGAAGGTAAGAAGGATGAGGCTCTGTTTCACTTACTTTGGGCATGTTGCTGTTGTTGTTGCTATGTGCTGTTGAGTTGCTTGCGACTCATAATGACCCTATATATAGGAGCCCTAAACTCTGCTCTGTCCTGTGTCAATCTCACTGTCTCCGACACACCCACCCCAAATACCCCAGTCACTGAATCAATCTACCTCATAGAGGGTCTTCCCCTCCTGCGCTGTCTCTCCACCCTCCGAACCATGTTGTCCTTCTCCAAGGACCAGTCCCTCCTTACTACATGTCCAAAGTATGTCAGACGAAGCCTCAGAATCCTTGCCTCCAAGGAGTAGCCTGGTTTAACCCTCTCCAGGATGAATCTGTTTGTTTTCTTAGCAGTCCATGCTACATTCAATACTCTTCTCCAGCACCACAGCTCAAAGGCATCAATTATCCTTCTATCCTCCCTAGTCATTATCCAGCTCTCTGATGCATATAGCAAGTGATTGCAAAGATGATGGCATGTATCAGGTACGCTTTATTCTCCGTGGTGACACCATTGCTCTTCAGTACTAAGAGTAGACTTTCCCATTGCAATAGGTCTTTTAATTTCCTTGCTGATGGTGCCAAGCAAACTATAGCTGTGTACAATCTCAATCTCTTCACTATCCGTCCTCATGCTGCCAGTTGGCCCAGTGGTGAGAATCTTTGTCTTCTTGATATTGAGCCTCAATCCATATTGAAGGCTACAGTCCTTGACCCTCTGCAGCAAGCACTTCAGGTCCTCCTCAGTTTCAGCAAGTAGGGTTGTGTCATCTGCATAACTCAGATTGTTGAATCTTCCACCAACGG